TCTTTATATTAGAATTCCCCAAATATATAACAAGTCACAGGGTTCACTGACCACTGGATATATTAGTTTTGAGTGACGGTGGTGATCAATAATCCAGAACAGCTCTTCCGTTTAGGTTGAAGTTGATCGTTTTTGCTTAGCTTTGAACATGTGTTTAAAACGTCTGATTTATTGGAATTATTTGCTTTTTTTTAATATTTCTGTTAAATAAAAGTTGATTTGCAATGATGTAAACAATTTTTTACACTCTGTTTTTTACAGCTAAAGGAAACTGTGACACATGGTAAAGTCTCTTTCCAGGTATTTAAAGTATAATGACAAAATGCAAAACAAATCCACACCTTGTGACCCCTAAAAGACTTGTAAACCAGTGTGACTAGCCTAGTACCCATGGAATAGTTATGATTCAAGTTCTCATAGACATGATGTAACATTAGGATCTAAATACAGCCAACCAACCAACATTTTCATAAGAAGGCCAGCTATGGCAAACCACATATTGATCTCATTAAGTTTCCTTGAAGTGCCGCCACCACCAACCCTCCCAACTTGGCGCTACACAAAAAAAACACATTTGTTACTTTTCTGCCGCTTTGAATAGCTGGCCTGTTTGTTGGTTTCAAATGGGTAACAATTAAATCGTCATATACAGTATTTAAAATGTACTTGGCTACAACAATGAAACATTTTTGTTCTGGACATAATGAAATAAACTATATAGAAAAACACTATTCAAACATTCCTGTTAAATCCCAATTATAGGCACATCAAGCTCAGTGGGAGGAACTGAATGGAATACATTTGCAGGCCTACACCTGTTTCATTCCAGAAAAAGATATCATTTGATATCATTTGGTAGTTAACATTATAGTACTATGCAATATTTTTTCCTGTGTGAAAGGTTTGAGGCCCCCCTGGCCCCCCACAGTGCCAGTGTACCCTGGTTGAAAGTCTACTTTGCTCAAGTCTTGTTTTTGCAGGTCACTGAATCACAACTCATTGAAGCTAGCTGGTCAGCAGAGCAAACAGGCAACAAGCATTTTCAGAAGGTCAGAAGTGGTAGCTCTTGCGTATCTCTCAGAAACGGTTTACGTTAGCAGATTTACAAGAGACTGCTTTGGCCCAACTGTGCTGTCTGGCATGAGCATTTAGCTCACACGACTGGTTGAACAGAATAACGTATTCTTCTGCAAGAAAATCATCTGAAGTAGTATTGAGAGAGTAAAATATACTCTTCCCAATACTTGGAGCTGGCCTGGGACACTGCAGCTGCCACAAGGTGGCTCTATATACCGAGAGCTGGGTTGTCATGTGACTGCTCAGCTCATGTTCTCCTCCACACGACACAGGGATTCCCCCTCTGCTCTCTGTTCCTCCAGCTATCATTGGAGGGGCAGTTACAGCTGGCTCTGGCTCTAGATGCAGAGCCAGCTGCCAATCAGGCAGTGGGGTGGATCATGACTATATTGTTACTGGCTGTAGCACAGCTCTGCGCTGTCAGCAAATGGCAGCCATTAGCCCCCCTCACAGGAGTACATTCGTAAATTATACTCCTGCGATCCAAAAGAAAAGTTGAGCCAAAAGTGTTTGACTTTACTACTTGTATTATTTATATATATTTCAACTTGCATATTTAGCGGTTTACATAAAGTTCAGATTTAAAGGTCCAAGATTCATTTATTTTACAGATCTGCTTTAAACATCCACAACTCCTTAAGTAAATGTACACATACCTGCAGCAAAAGTTAGATATTTGAAATTGGGGCCTCGGCTACATAGGCTTTTTATCTTCATCTGAAAAAGTCTGTGAGTATTTGCAGTATACTTGCAGTAAGTCAATGTGCGATTAAATAATGAGCTCTCTATAGACAAGATAAATAGTTCTATTTGACATTAATCACACACACCTACGGCTACGCTCAACCATGTAGCTTGCACCATAGGGAGCCCATTGCTTCTTCACTAGGAAGTTTATTGTAGTTATTCTATAAGTAGAATGTGGAATATAGACCTAGCATAACATCTTTGTATATCTTAGGCTTTTTATAACATTGCTGTGCAAGCTACTGCCCTATTAAACAGAGGCACCAAGTTACAGCTAGGAATAATGTTGTTCTTATTCTAATAAGAAGGTGGTGGTGGTGGAATGGTGGTGTCCTTCTCCTCCTCACCCCACGCCTTCTTACATACAGTAGCATAATCAGAAATGTCTGGCCAACTGAAGACACGTGGAGCATGACTAGATCATGCTTTCATGTCTTATATGTATGGTTTGCCTTGGGTTTGAAACCAGAATTCTGAAGCAAGTGGGAGACAATAAGTCGGCATGCAATAATAGATGCAGCCTAACTGCTGATTAGTTCCATTTTAAATACAGCTGTTACTGTAGCTTATCAGCCTGCCCAAAGAACTGATTACTTCCACTTGCCCCGATTTGCTCTTTAAATGGTACTTTAAGTGCCAAAAGATTTGGAATACATCACCCCCTCTCCGCTCCACTCCCAAACTGTCTCTGATCCAGTGGGACTGGCTGGGAATTCACCAAAGTACTGGTGCCCCACAGGTATAAGACATGTCCTGCTTCCTGGTGGAGTAACAAATATTCCAGCACTCATCTATGCTGTCAGTGTTGGACAGATAAATCTTACTACTGACAGTGCATTCATAGTTGTGGCGCTGATGTCACTTGTCAGAGTAGGGGACATGAACCTCTACCTCTCTGGTAAGTACACCACTGAACAAGAGTCAATGTGAGTAATTTCCCACTGATATCAATGAAAAGGACCACTAACTCTACTGCTGGAGTGCTTGCTTATCCCACTGACACCAATGCTTTGTTCTCACTGATGGCTGGTCAGTCTTCCTCCCACCGACTACCAATGCAAAGGAATCCTTTTCTACTGACAAGCAATGTAAGGGGCACTATGTTATACACTGAGTGGCCAGTTTATTATGACCACCTGATGTTTGTAGGCAAATTAGCTATAATTAGCTATAGTTTCGCGCTGAAGTTGCTAGAGGGCCAGACCATTATACATAGGGAAGCAGGTTGTTTACCACGACAGTAGAAGTGATTTTTTTCTGAAGATATGGGTAAACAACGCCATTTAACAGCCTTTGAACGTGGGATGATTGTTGGCGCGGAGCCATGGAGCGAGTATCAGCAAAACAGCAGAATTCGTTAAATGTTCAAGAGCAGCTGTTGTTAAAGTGTTTAAAGACTGGACTGTCAGACAACAAATCTGGGTCTGAACGTGCGAATTGTAGCCGTCAGCGACTAGTCAATGTTTTACGGCAGAACGCAGGGTGGCAAGACTGGCGCACAACAGAAGGGCAACAGTGCAGTGTCAGATTCCTCGCATCACCTTTCAACATCTCGCGGAGTCACGAGGCAGCCCAACAAAGTCATCTCGTGGAGTTATCTTGTGGCCCAACGAAGTACTGATGGGGTGGTCATAATAATCTGGCCACTCAGTGTATACTCCTGACCTCTATGACCTTGCTAAGCTGAGCAATACATTACATGTTTATTACAACATTCCTTGGTTACGAACTATTCCTCAACTATTTTATTGAAGTTCTGTAGGCTTAGTCAAAGTGTTAGTTCTGTGTTCCTAATCTGCGGGCAGAAAAGCATATGTTATGGAAAAATACTTATAATGTATTACATATTGTCTTGATGTTTATCCGCATCTGTAGGACTGTGGGATACAGTGTGTACTGTTAGTAGGCCCAAACTTCGTAGTATTTTAAACCACAACCAATATTCAATTCAGTGTAGTCAAGGCATTCTTTCAATACAAAGTGCTACATGCACCGCATCTCAAAGTGACCCTCTTATTTATGTTCTAAAGGTGGGCGGTATGTATCAGCTATTGTTAAATTTATTACACTAAATTAAATTAATTTTAAAAACACAAAGCTGTAAATATGGCGATAGAAATTAATCATTGTATCATACTTACTAGCTGATATTTTTCATTTTTTTTCTTATTTTCCTGCTACTGCTGTTGACACAACTTTTTCTACCAGGAAAGAAGCTTTGGAAGTTACATAATTAACTACTGAGCTAGCACAGGTTTATTAAACAGAGTTTATGTAACCAAAGTATGAGCGTCATCCAAAAAACACAGACTAACTGGAATGTGTATCCTAGTGTGTGATCCCTCCCAGCCTTGCGTTACAAAACCAGGAAACATCCCAGTTTAATTGCTCTCCAAACTCGACTGTGCCTGTTGCATTCATCTGTGCTGCTTGCTTTACTGAACACAGGACACCTTCTACTGTATGCAGCACTGGATAATAGACTACTACTACTATTCCACCACTGGACACTGGACCCCGACTACTGCCTGCGCCACTTGACTCAAAACAGGTAAACGGCTTTTTATCTGTCACTAAAACACAGAGAATCCCAGATGAGGGGAATTTATCAATACTGGAGCAGACAGAATCTGGAGCAGTTGTCGATGGCAACCAATCAGCATTGACCTTTCATTTTCAAACCTTAACTGAACAAACTGAAGAGAGAAGCTGATTGGCTGCCATAGGCAACTGCTCCAGATTCTTCTGCTCCAGTTTTGATAAATCCCCGAAATCCCCGCATAATCTTTACTGACCATTGTGTGAAATATTTGAACACCAGACCAGGTTTACAACCTTACCAAAAACACATTTTGTTTTTTGCAGTACCCGGATCCCCATACCCTTTTTATGGCCAATAACTTGCATATAAGCCTTCAAAATGGGGACATTTGATTTTCAGAGTTCTGGTGCCATAGACTTTCATTGAGTTCGAAGTACGATTTCAAACTTTTTCCATGTTCTAACAATCGAACTCAAACCGAACTGAGACCTTTGACCCAATTTCATGGGTGTTTTTATTCCAAATGTGTTTAAAATCTTTTGGCTTTTTCTGTCACATTGAA